CGGGCGGCGTGTCCCGCAAAGAGTGTGCGGCGGTGCAAGATGGTTAGCAGATAAAAAGGAAAAATGGATTACCGCTGGAGGGAAGGTCGGAAGTTGTGTGGTCCTTGGTTGAGGGAGGTTTGTTGGGATTCCTCCAAGTCCCACACCGGATGTGTAGGAGTAAATGAACCAAAATATATAGGTTCACCCAACCCCATTAGTATGAGGCCTTTTGGGAAGTGCCCAAAAACAAATCCGTGAGGGCTTAGCCTAGAGCGGAAAATATCATACTAATGTGGGGTTTTGGGGTGAGGGCACACGCAGTCCCAACAACAAGATTATATTATTTTATCAAATAACTAACGACAATAGATAAAGAAAGTGAATTAAGTTTGAACGTGTGAATAAAAACTGGAAAGATAATTTTAGAAGGGAGTGAGTTTATTTTGTGCCAGGCATTAGTGTATAAGCACCACACCACGCTATGCATGCACCCCAATGCGATGCTCCCGGCCGAAAGCCAACCACTTTAATCCTTAATTCAGCCAGCGATCTTGCTCCTTTTCCACCTTTCTCTGCCCATAAATGGATCCCAACAACCACTCCCAAACAATAATTAATCACATTATTAATTTAATTACGCAAACCTCACTCGCTCCCCATTCTAAAAAATAATATTAACACTCCCAAGCTAGTATAATATATAATTAATGGGATATCTCGTCCAAATCTCCACTAGCCCTGCAGTGGCGGCGGCGGCAATAATGATAGTACTAGCGCTGGTGGTGGAGCACGGCGGAGGGCAGATGCCGCCGCAGGTAATGGGGCAGTGCATCATCAACTGCGGGCAGAGAGCCATCACGTGCGCCGTCCAGTGCGGTGCCGCCGCCGTGCTCGACTCCTTCGGCTGCGTCACCGGTTGCGGCACCGACAACATCAACTGCGTCACCGGTTGCCTCGGCGGCTCCTTCACCCCTCCCGCCAGTACTACCACCTCGCCCGCCGGGGTTTAATTTAATTTGATGCCGGACGGGAGCCTTCATTAATCATATTAATTTCTCCCTTATTATATATTTATTTGCATTATCCTATATGTAGAAAAAATAAGTATACTCCCTATTGTGTGTGTGTGTGTTTGTTGATTATTGTAATAAATTAAAGCTCCCTCGCCTAATAGCTTAAATCATACTCCGTATTTACTACTTGTAGTACTAATATACTCCCTCCGTCCCGAAAAACATGAGAGTTTTGATTTTGAAGAGGGATTTAAGGGGAGTGTATTTTGGTATTGAATTTCCAAAAATGTCCTTTGATGTGATGAGTAAAGTATGATTTGATGGATAGATTATTAGTAAAAAAGTAGGATGTGACAGGTAGGATATGAAAAAGTAAGGGGTGAAAGTGACTTTTTAATATAAATGAGAAGTGTTTTTTGGGACGGATGAAAAAAGAAATGAGAAAAGTTTTTAGGGACAGAGGGAGTAGAAATAAAGTCCACATGTGTACCTATTCATATATTTTTCATTGATTTATAAATGGAAAATTTACCTAACTAGTACTAAAACATAATGATTTTCTCTAAGTAGTATCATATGTGTTTTTTCTCAATGTAGCACTTTTAGTCATTATCCAGTAGTCATAATTCAAGAAAATGTTCGTCATCACGGGTCATTATTTGTCATTCTGGACATTATTAAGTGTTATTTAGTGAATAAAATAATTTAAGTGTTATTTAAGGAAATGCCTTAAGTTTTAGTGATATATTTAGTGCAAATATTTCTTTATAAATTATTCATATATTTTTCATGGGTTTATTTTATATATTAAGGTTCATAAAATGAGCATGAATCTAAGAATTATAAAAAAAGATTTGCCCGTCCCAAAATAAGATTGATGGAACATAATTATTCATAATGAAATACGAGTATATGATACCAAATCATAACATTTTTACCTAAATACTCCGTAGTATGATACTCTGTACGTAAGATTTTATACTCCATCTCTCCAATGCAATACTCTTATAGTTTAACGTAACTTGACCCGAAGTTTAAATAAAATGATAAATTATGTTGAGTTTTTTTACTTCTTCCAATTTCTTCCAATTCCTAGTTTTTTCAAATCCTTCCAAATTCTTCCAACATGAAACCCGGCCTGAATAGAATTGGTTTTGAATAAAGACTTTTTTGACCAAATCCAAAGTTGACCGAACCCGAAATGACCCACGAAAAATGGGTCAAGCCCGACCGAATCTGAACCTGACCTGACCGACCCGCTAATGTAAGAATTTTTCAAAATATATATTTTACTAGGAAATATAATGTTATAAAAATAACATTATCATTATATATTTTTTTCTTACTCATTTTTAGTGTATAAATTTATACACCTGAAGTAACCCGAACCCGAACTCGACCTGACCGACCGATTTGTCAGCTCTACTTATAATATACCTATAGTTTGTAAAGGGCGCAGACGCACCCCTAATGTAATTTTTTCGGACGGAGAAAATAAAATATAGGTTGCAATGCCCTTAAATTAGGAAGATAGACATTTTCCTGCAACCTCATATGTTAGTACTACAGGTGGCAATCGGGTCAACCGGATTGTTTTTGGATTGGATTTTTTCGATTCGAATATCGTCTTTCGAATACCTTTCGAATATATGTTATAATTAGTTTGGTTATATTTGGATTTGATTTGGTTCTATATGTTTTTTGGTTTCGGTTCGGTTCGGTTTCGAGTCGCTTCAGATACGGTTCGAATAGATTTTGGTTCAGATACAATTTAGATCGGATATATTTTAGTTTCGGATCTACCTCGGGTCGAATATATTTCGATTTCGGATATGTTTCAATTCAGATATATTTCAATCAAATATATTCTGGATATATATTATTTTCTCATTAAAATTTCATTATCCATGTTTCTTTCTATGTTTTATCACATTTATCAATCTATTATCAATTCAATACCTCATGTTATTTTATATTTTTTTCTAATTATACTATCTCCACCCAAGATAATCTTCCTCTTTTGACATTTTAGTCATATTTTACAAATTTGGACAACAAACTATGAAAAATATATATTTAATTATGATATAAATTTAATATAATTAAATTTATTTTAAAATTTAGTTTTGATATATCAAATTTTTCTCACATATACTAATATACTGTGTTTATTTTATAAATGTAAAGATAAAAGATAAATTCAAATAGTGTTACACTCCAATTGAAAACAATTTGGTAAAAACTAAATGAAATTGGGTGAAATTAAGTAAATTCTATTCAACCGAGTGCAAAATTTATAAATTATTTGAGTGTATTAGGTTAAAATTATATAAAATTTTAGTCAAATATAATTAATTTTACACCAAAATTTAACGGTGTAGATCAAATTTGAAATTAATAACACTAAATGATATTGCTAAAGAGCCTTTTCAAAACGCAAACACTAACATCTAACGTTGTTAATTAATATTGAGTGAATTAGTTTGAAACTAATCAAATTAACTCCGAAACCAATAAAATTTATCGTAAATGGATGAAATTAGGATAAAATATAGTTTTTCCATACAATTCATCATATAATTCTTTTATCCCAAAAAGAATATCACACTTCACTATTAAAAAAAATTATGGAATTTTATTTATTTGTGTGTTATCATTGATTATTTGATAAAATAAAATATTATTCTTATAATCTCTTATTTTGTAAAACTTATGACGTATTTTTTTGAATATGTAAGTATTTTTTATCTCTATACCAATATTTAAATAAAATAATTTAAAAAACTCAAAATCTTACTTTGTTTTGCGTTATGTAGCATTCTTTCTAAGATGGAGGGAATTTTTTTCAAAATAAGATAATTTTAATTAGATTTTGTAACTTAAAACTAAAATTAATATTTTATTTTTAATATAATATCTAAGCAAAGACATAATTTTTCATGTCTAATCTTCCTCCCTAAAGCTCAAAGTGTTCCCCATTCCTTTTCACTTTCCCTCCTTAACTTTATCACTTTTCTTACGCCACCATTTAACCCATTTCCCAATTTCCACTCACCTTCAACTCTTAGACCTAATTTCTTTGAACTGATGCTTCACCTTATTTTTCAAATATTTTATTCCCTTTTATTGTGTTAATAACAAAACAGTTGCCTCACTTTATTCGTCCAATATTTTATATGTATAACTTCTGTTCAATTTCTAAATATAATAAATTTAAGGCATGAGATTTTGTAATGTTTTTGAAGATGGTAATCCATTTTGAGGGAATGAACAAGTAATGTAATTAGTTCAAATGGTAAAGTAAAAGTAAAAATTTAAAAAAATAATATGCTTATTGAAAGGAAAACAGTGTTTCAGGTTTTATCGGTTTTAGTTCTAATCAGGTTCGGATATTATCGGTTTCGGATCTAATCGATTTCGAGTTTTATCAGTTTCGGGTATTATTAGTTTTGGATATAATCGATTTCAAATTTAATCAGTTCAGACATGATCGATTTTGGATCTAATTGGATTTAAATTGAATATGAATTATTTAATTTAGTTTCGGTTCGGATCATTTCAGATTTTCAATTATAGGTCAGATCTTCATTTTTTAGATCATTTCGATTTTGGATAATTTGGTTCGAATAATCGATTCCGGTTCTGTTTTGCCAGGTCTAGTTCCCTGGGATAGAATATTTCTTTCGAAACAAATGCGTGGAAGCCTTTGAAGAACACAATGAGTATCTTTATTAGTTTACCTTTGTTTCATAGTTGACCATGTACAATATATAGACACTTCATACATAGGAGTGAGTAAGTGTTCCTTTTTTTTAGAAAAAGAAAAAAGAAAGAAAGACTTCCACGCATTTGAATGTTATCCATGGAGCACGGAAATGTGGAATTAATATGAGGATATATGGGGAAGATGAGGTTACAGAATGAGGCAGCGGCAGGGATAACACAAGGGAACATCTCTTTTCCGCCTTCTTCTTCTTCTTCTTCTTCTTCTTCTATTCCCACTACCTTCGTAATTTTCTGAGCTTTTCCTTCCTGAAACATTGTTCTGCCTAAATCTGTACAAGTAATCAATAAACACCCTTTTAATTTATCACTGTCTTTAATTAAAATGCACCCATACATACATGCATCCTACATGGAGTATGTATTTGATGAGTATTATTATTATTATCATTATTAATGAAATGTTAATTCTCTTATTTTAATTGGTGGGACTAGTTCAACACCTTCAAACAATCAATCGTTCTCTATCTCCATTCGTCTTTAGTCAAATGGTGATATGATATCAAGTTTGGGATTTGATGATATCAACTCTCTCCACATTAATAAACAAGCATACACAATGCTTCCAATGTTGCAACATAAGCGGGATGTGCATGTTTCGATAGGGGGGGGGGGGAGCAAGTTAAACCACATGACATTTGAGAGCCAGGTGGGGTGGGGGTGGGGGAGCAGATGTTAGAATGTTCACAAAAAATGTTAATGATGAAGGAAACATGCAAGTTCTCCAATGGCATGCTCATATTAAGGAAGAAACACCAGAAGTAGTCAACAAGTAAGAACCATAACTTAAAAAACAAGGAATGTAGCAAACACGATACTGAAAAAGTAAGTCGCATTTTGAAAACAATGAGAATAGGAAAACATGCAAAGCACCGAAACAATGTATGGTTCCTAGCAAGAAATTGGAAATCTCAAACTTATCTGCCCTGGTTTTCCTTCTTCGTACTCTATTTTTCTCTCTTTTACGTCGGTCTAAAGATTAAGTTTGAGGGTTGATTGTATTCTCACTTAGCCATCATGACCTTCACAAATTCCTCATAGTTGATTTGACCATCCCCATCGACATCGGCCTCACGGATCATCTCGTCAACCTCCTCATCGGTAAGCTTCTCACCAAGGTTTGTCATGACGTGGCGAAGCTCAGCAGCAGAGATGTACCCATTCTGATCCTTGTCAAACACCCGGAAGGCTTCCTTCAGCTCCTCCTCAGAATCTGTGTCCTTCATCTTACGGGCCATGAGATTAAGGAACTCTGGAAAGTCAATAGTCCCATTCCCATCAGCATCAACTTCATTGATCATATCTTGAAGCTCAGCCTCAGTTGGGTTCTGTCCCAATGACCGCATAACTGTTCCAAGCTCCTTTGTAGTAATGCATCCTGAAAGAAAGCTTGTTCAGTTAAGAATTAATAACACAACATTTTCAGTTTCTGGTCCTATGACTATTCTGCGTACCCATTTTTTCGCCCCCCGACTCTTTTCAAATTTTGTGCATGACTATTGGTTACTTGCAACTGATTGGATCCTTCCAACCGCTTATTTGGCCAATTTCTGTATAATTTCCCATTGATTTGGTTGGGTAACTAATAAGGAATGAACAAAAAGTGGCAAACAGTCCATGATCGTACACCAAATGTGGAAAAATGAAATTTGGGAACCTAAAGTGGAAATAACCTAATAGTCATGATACTAAATGTGGAAAATTATGGAGTATTCATACTACCACGCCTCTCGCCTCGTGTTTTCAATCCCCTTCTAAGCATTGAATAAGATTATATAGGTTCTACCTTCCACCAAAATGTAAATGGAATTCATACAAGCATAAAAACAAGACCAAAAAATTCATTAAATAGAAAACAAAATAAGCACACATAGCAAACAGGTCATTTAAAGTATGTTCTATTTATAGACTTTGTGGCCTTTGGGTGGGTATGAGAAGTGTGATCATCAAAGAAAGGTTTGGGTGTTGGACAGAACCGTTTCTAAACAGTTAAAGCTACAATTGCCCAATTAATCTGATCTTAAGCTACAAGTACATACTGGTATGTTTTCCTCCTTTTTAGCTAATACGCAAAAGTTAAAAAAATCTACTGATGTACTCCGTATAACAGTTTGTATTTAAAATTCTCAGTCAGATCTCATTCATAGTTCCATAATAATTATAATAAACTATTAATGAATAAGAGTAGAGAGGTACATCCAATTAAACTAAAAAAGAAGGGAAAACCAAATCAAACTAAATTCAGAACATCTCACTCGAGAGTAAGGTTGGGTGAGGTAAGATGTATGTACCCTTACCCCTGGGAGTAAAGAAATAAGAAAATGTACCCCAAGTGTTGACTCAGAAGAAATAAAAAAGATAAGCAATCAGAGAGATGAAGAGGAGAAAGAGAAGATTAATCATTACCAGTTTGTCACCAATAGTAGGTCCAACAATCCCAACTCCCAAGATAGATAACAAATGAGCAGTGCTCAAAGGCAAAGAGTACAGAAAAGAAGCGTGAAAAGGTATGACGTTTGGACTAGTGATTTGATGATTCATACATTTGAAAGAGTTGGATTTCCTTCTTGGATTGGGGCTGATCATCCAAGACATGACCCAGCACATATGTTTCAAAGATTGGATATCCATGATCTTAAAATCTGACTAGACAATCCTAATTGAGTGCAGAATGTTTTGAACCTAACCATGATCCAGATGCAATCCTAATAACACCGATTTGATCCAACTTCAGCCCAAGTATCACATATTCGAGCTTGACTCGAACCTACTTTGAGTCAGGCTCAAGCTTGACTCTTTAAGACTTCATGCTTAGAACCATGTTCAAACACAACTCATTTGAAAACAAGATTCATATGTAAATGTGAGGTATACATGAGAACTAAGTGATAATTATGCCTTAATTATGAATCCAAATCGAGCTCCCAAGCCGAGCTAAGCTAAGCTTGTTAACTTACCAGAATCAAATCGAGATCAGGCTTTCTCAAATAAACAAGTCAACATCAAGTAAGGCTCGTTTCTCATAAGAAGGCTTATGTTCTTACTTCTTAGCATGGGTTTGAATAGCTATTTTAAAAAAAACTTTTTCTTGAGCTGCTCTTTTATTTCCATCCATATTTCGGAAGTATTCTAATCGTCCTCTCTATTTTTCTTGCTATTCTGTTTCACTTGTAATTTCCCCAAAACGGAAAGGACCCATAGCATATTAGTAAATACATACTTCCTCAGCTCAAATGTGATGGGTTATTCGGTTACATTAGAGAAGATTTTTTTTTAAATAGGTTACACATTCGAATATACATTGGACATCAATTACAAAACTGTCATTTTCCAAATGTTAAAGCACCATAGTGCTCTATATATCTATAAGACATTAATGAGTGAACAGTATTCGGTATTCTAGTCATATTATTATATGAATGAAACACCTAAAAGTGACAATTATTTAAAAACATATAGAGCATATAAATCCGGAAATCAACTATTACATACCTGGCATGTGAAGTTAGTATTATATCTGACCTAAGATTCTAAGAAATATAATAATCTGCATAAATGTGGCATAGGAAGTACACATCATTTGCTCCTGGGGTGAGACATAGTAAACAAGCTCCACACTTGGACATTAACATTTTTCACTCTAAATATAGGAAAAGTGGAAAATAACATCATGATTTTATAGAAGTATGGTGTTATGATAAGCCGTCATCAAAACCCTTCCATGTAACAATGATGTTTTATACGGAGTACATAAATGGGAAAAATATTACTAACACAAACAGACATAGAAACTTCTTATGAATTTTTATGAGGCTCTACATTTAGCAGACATTAAACAGCTCCACTAATAGAAAAATACAGGCATGAGCTCATGATCTCAAAAGAGGATCCTGACTCTCTGCCAATTATGACACAAAGGTTATGTAACCCTTTTTAAGGTTGGAGTCCATTAATTCTTGCAACTACATTTAAATGGTTTGCACTGAAACAAGAAAGCTTTGATCCAAAACATAGATGGAGGGGGAAAAAAGTCATATGAATTTGCATCAATCCATCTACCAGAACCAACGACTCATTTTGAGATAATCAAACAAAAGAGCCTAACGCAGACAAATCATTACCAAGCATGCCCACTAGATCAACCATAGATTCAATATCATTTTACAACTCTCAAAAGCATGAAAGGAAATTAATTTTTTTTTAAAAAAAATCTAAATAAATTAAGTCTCCAGGTAGAAAAAAACTCGTTCTAGGTCGACAATGATTTTATTTTATTTTAATCTCAACTTGAATCTCAATCCCTGATCGGAATCGGATAAGCAGGAAAGATAATACGAAAGTAGGACACGAGAAAACATCACATATGCGTGTGATAAAGGAACACTAACCATCTCCGTCTTTGTCAAACAGGCTGAATGCTTCCTTGAACTCAGAGATCTGATTGTCTGTGAGCTGATCCGCCATGGCTAGCTAGCGAGAGGGGAACGACGGACAAGGGAAAAAGAGAAAATGAAAGGAAGGAAATAGGCAGGCGTCTTGTGTGGAAGAAAGAATAAAATGGAATGTGTGGCCTGTGGGGCGGCCGAAAGGGTGCGGTACGGTACCTCATTCTTTTCCACTATTCCACAGTTTATGTTCCCTCGTTCGCTACATTGGCATCCTTATCAAATTAAGAATAAAAGACACATACTATTAAAATACTCCCTTTGTCCTTAAATATTTGCAACGTTTGTTTTTTTAGCGTTGCGGGAACTATTGTTTATTTTTATGTTTTCATTGGTTATTTGATAAAATAAAATATTCTTGACACCTCTTATTTCGAAGAACTTTTCATGTAGTTTTTTGATGTGTATATTTTATTTTTTATTTCCATACCAATTTGTAAATAAAATGAATTGAAAAAACTTGATATTTTGTCTCAGGAATACAAATGTGGCAAATATTTAGGGACGGAAGGAGTAGATGTTTTATATTTTTAGTTCTAAAATGGATAATTGTTCTATGTTAATTTGACACTATGTACTCCTTCGTCCTAAAAAAATGTCAAATTTATTAGTTCAGCTTCTTAATAACTTTTGTTTGTTTACTCATTCTGATTGACCATTTGATATAATAAAATATTCTTGTTGCATCTTATTTTATAAAAAATTTTATATACTTTTGAACAGTGTAATTTTTATTTTTTATTTTTTTACCAATTTGTAAATAAAACAATTTTAAAAAAAGATGGTATTTATATGTTCTTTGAAATGTTTCAAACAATTTGGGACGGAGGGAGTAGTTTTTCGGGTATTGTACATTGACACTTTGCCATTGTAACTCTTATTTTGAAATTTAAAATATAAAGCTCTTATTTTGTTACTTTCTCCATGTTCTACGTTTAGTTTTTCTCTCTATCAAATTTTAATTTTTTTGTCAACCTAGCATTTTACATGTGTGATGTGTAGGATTAAACGAATTTTTCATTACTCCCTCCATCCCTTTAAAATTCTTCCTGTATCGCATAATGAAGTTTGATTGAAATTATTTTTAATTCATTTCAAAAATATAATTTTTCTTTTTTAATCTTTGTACCAACTACCAAGCTAAATTGAAAACATTTTAGCAGAGTATATTAACATATACATTGACATCAAAATGTGAATAAATGTTAGTATGAAACCTAAGGGCGCTGGAAGTACTCATGAAGCCCCGGAGTTTCAAACCTTCTTCTCACTCAACGTCAGCTTGAGTGACTAAAGATATCTTCGATCAAATGTGCCGTTAGTGCATTGTGAATCTCTCTGCTTTGAATTTCTTGGCAGTTTCTTCGTTTCTTTTCTTCATCGATTTCTTCGTACATATGCAGCTTCTCGTCCGGGTTGTAATGACAAGTCGCAAATCTGTTATTCTCTATGATTATATTCTGAAGAATAATACATGCATACATGATATTTCTCATTTTTGTTTGATAAAAATATTTGGACAAACGATCTAGAATGTGCCACTTAGCCTTCAACACCCCGAATACTCGTTCAATATCTTTTCTCACCGCCTCATTAGCTTGTTTGTAGGTCTGACGTTTAGGACCCATTGGTTCGTAGAGGGATTTGACAATCGTGGAATAATCTGGATATATTTTGTAACGCCACGACCTGGATACCCGAATTTATTCAAATATCCGACTCGCGGTGTTAACGGGTGTAACTTTTTGAATCGGAAAATGGAGCATTAAACAAAACTTTACTTATTTATTGATAATATCGGAGTAACTATTATACATGCGGAAGCTTAACATATTCGTACAAAATATATATTTCAAAATAACATCTTTATTATTATTATCGTTCTTTATATCATCTCGTCCATCCTTCCATCGCCTTAGCATTGTCCTCCGGTTCGGTCACTATTCTGTTTGTGTACCTAAAAAAAATGGAGTCAACCCGATCAGAAAAAGCTGAGTGGTACCAATTATAACAATGGGTACGAAATATAATAGCGTACACATATACTTTTCTCAAAATTTTTTACTTTGATAATATCAACTCATTTCTGTTTCAGTATTCCATAAAGGTGCAATATCCACATATTTGAACTTTTTTCTTTACTCTGTTTTATTCTTGTTTAACTGGGACTTCAAGTACTTAACATACAAGACAAGTCCATTATGTAACTGGGACTCTGAGTACTTAACGTACACGACTAGTCCATTATGACGGGCTCGTACGGCAATGGGGGGTACTGGTTAACCCTGTGGAACCTCGTGAACCGTAGTTCACATATCAGAAATCGTTTATTAATTTTGAGAAATATAATTTGTATCTGTATGTGCCTCATTAACTTTTTTTTTGAATCCATATTTTAAATTTAACACATATCATATTTTACTCCATATACGAAATTTAAAAATAATACATAGAGTATTTTATATTTGCTTCAAAGCTATATTTTTTTCTTACTAAAAACTTATTAAAAACTTCCTTAGAATGTAGAGAAATAGTTTTAGGTATAGAATGTAAAAGAATCTTCTCACTTAGAGTTGGTCATTTCCGGTCACCTTCTCCGACGAGATAACTTTGTTTTTATGTTCAAAACTCAATTTTTTTTCTTCTTTTTATCATCAAGATACTTTTTATAAAACATATATAAATAGTTTGGACGTAAAGATTTGTAGAAAACACGCGTCACTATCTAGACCCATTTTTCGGTCGCCTTCCTTAACGGTGTTCAAAAATTTGTTTCAAAACTTTATTTTCTATTCGCATGCCCTTATATAATCATCATAGAATCATTTTGGGGAATATTTTAGATAATTTGGACGTAACGCATGTTAAAAATAAAAGTCGACGGCGTTCCCGATTATTAGTGAAAGAAATTAAATCAATTGAATATATAACAAATATAACATATATTAACGTATTATATTAAGTAACGATTGTTATACGGGCGGCGGCACTCACTTCGGTGTTTGGAAATGGACATATCAATATAAGAATGAACTAGATGAAATTTGATGATTTCTCCTCATGTAACGTACTAACTATCAAACTTAATGTATATATGTTTGTGTTGATAATATGGGTACAGAGGTATATGTATATATGTATATATATATATATATATATATATATATATATATATATATATATATTTAATATAGCATAGAGTATGTATGTTGATGCCACTACATGGACGTATATATATTACGGAGTATTAGTTTCTTAGCCAATGAGGTTTCCTATATAGATAGGATAATCCTTATCTGATGCAAAGTCGGCTAAAATAAGATAAGATCAACTTGTTTTTTTATTTACTTATATCAATTAGTTTTGTTTTAGTTCAAATTTTATTCCAAGAATATTTTCGCCGTTATTTGAAGGACTAATATATCAAACTGATTTATGTGATATAATTATTAAATTTATTATTTTAATTTCTAATCTAAACTGGTAAGATCACAAAACAATTATCTTAGTTTTTTATCAAAAACAACTAGACCGGTTTTTGGGGCATTACATATTTCATCGATAAGATAATATCCACACTTGTAAAGCGCCCATCTAAGCTCAAAAGACGAGTCGGGTGCGGTCTCATCAACCCAAACATAAAAAAGAGGCGATTGATCAAGAACATTGACGTCGTTGTCCGAACCTGCAACACCGAAAAAAGCGTGCCAAAATCACAAGTCATTTGAAGCCACAACTTCGAGCATGATAGTAGGCTTGGGATGATCACTCTCGGAGAACTGACCATGTCACGCAGTGGGACAAATTTTCATTCCCAATGCGTGCAATCAATGTTCCCAAGCATGCCGACAAAGTCGAGTTTGGCAGCATGCCTAGCCTGTAACTGCTCAATGATGCTCGTTGTTAGCTTACGTAAATACCTTTTATGATAAATTCAAATAATAGCTTTAGAAAAGGTATGAACACATTACCTGATGCTCCGAGCTGACATCTTCAAGTATTCGTCAAACATATCGGATGTCGTCCCGTACGCTATCTAATGAAGCGCGGCAGTGCACTTCTGGACGCTGCTAAACCCACTTTGGCCTCTCGCATCAAAGAGTTGGGTGAACCAAGGCACCTCACATTTAATATCGCCGAGTATGCGTAAAAAGAGAGTAGAATGTCTCGTCCGAAAACGATTACTAAAATCCTCCAGTGTATAAACACATAGAGTATTGAAGTAGTCATTGAGTAGTGAAGCATATGCAGCCGTCCGATCACAGTTTAAAAGCTGAAGTTGGGTCAGGCTTCGGGACGATTCTGCTTCTTCTCGTTGGTCTTGTTGCCACCATTGATAACAACCCGTTGTGAAACAACGAAAAATGAAAGCTCTCTTTTCATCATCAGATAAAGATGAATAGATGATTCCATTTTTAAATATTTTGAAGAGAAAATTAAAATAAACAGAATATATTTTGGATGAACTATAGAGAGAATGAGAAATGTTATGTGTATTTGTTGTGTTAAAAATAAGGGGTATTTAGCATTGAAAAAAATTTATAAATTCCCAACAACATTATTTTTGGCCGTTTGGGCCATTGGGAACGAAGCCACAACGGCTCTCCCTAGTGTCAAACGTTTGACGCGCAGGGGATGACGTCCTCTTTAAACGCTGAAAGGGGGCGGTGTTTGACGCCAGGGGCGGAGCTACTAAGGAGCAAATGATTGCAAGTGCAGTCACTGAAATTTCTTCCCCAAATCCAAAACGACGTCGTTTTGGCATTTTACCAAAAAAAAAAATCTACTCTGTGCGGCTGTGCCTCTGTCTCCTACTTTGCTGTTCACTTTCAATCCTCTTTTCCAATTTCCACCCGTCAATTCCCATCTCATCCCCAAATGCCAAATCCCACATTCCCACCCAGTTACATCCACTCACTTCTCCAATCTATTCCCAATTTCCAATTCAATCTTCAATTCTTCAAATCTTTCTTCTAATTGTGCATAGTGCAGAGACGGAGACCAGCGGTAAATTTGTTTACGGGAACCGGCTGGTGACGAAGTGCGGCAACCAAGGTCGACGATTCCGAGTTCTGACGAAGTACAATCGTTCAGAAACAGGCTCCGATCTGGTAACTTAGTCTCAATTTATTAAATCAGCAATTTATTACCATTTAACCTATTTTTTTATTGTGATTTTCTTCAAATTAGCAAATTAATCTTATTTTCCTCAAGTCTGAAGTCTATTGATTTTCATCTTCTTCATTGAAAAGTTTTTTTTTTGTTTTCTCATATTAGGCACTCGTACAGTAGCACTATTGGTAAAACAAAAATAGTTTTTGATGAATTTTTTTTGTCCTCATTTTAGGCACTGGTACAAAAAAAGCTAGGTTAGAGAACAAAAAATGAAATTTTGAGGGTTGAAATTGCCAAATTTTAATTGACAAATATTTTTATTGACAAATTTTACAGGTGAAAATATCAAGGTTGAAACTGCCTACTTCACAAACAGAAAATGAAAGGAAACATTCACACTATACTTGTGACTTATTTAGATTTAATGAGTATTATTAAATTTCAAGTTATGGGATTAACCTTTTATTACTTTGTATTCTATTAGGTTTAAAACCATATTTCAAAAGGCTAAAGCCTACACCTCCGGAAGAAAATGTTATTGATGTTGAAGTTCAACCACAATCTCCGCCTCAAGATTCTCAAGGAGCAAGTGTACTTGATAAACCTCAAGGGCAATCTCCGATTCATGAAAATCAAAATGAAGTTGACATAACAAATCTTGAATCGGATCCAGGAAAAAGGATTCCAATCCATTTGATGACAAAGAATCAGATTGAGAGAGAATATTCGTCGAAGGTATTTATTAAAAGGTCCAACACAACCTAAGCTTCGTGAATTTCCTCAAACCCTTATTTATGGTTACAATCGTAGATTCAATTCAAAATGGTATGAAGAATTTGGGGCTTGGCTTGAGTATAGTGAATCAAAAGATGCTTGCTATTGTCTATATTGTTACCTTTTCAATATAGAGTTTGGTAGTACTAGCCATGGACATGATGCATTTGTTAGTACGGGGTTTAAGTGTTGGAATAAGCCAAGTAGGTTAAGAACTCACATGGGAGAACATGATAGTATTCACAATAAATGTTTCCAAGTAGGGCAAGATTTGATGAATGGGAAACGACATATTGATGTTGCTCTTATGTGTGTTACCGACCAAGCAAAAAAAGATTATCGTGTTCGGTTACAATCATCTTTGAATTGTGTTAGATTTCTTTTAAGAAATGGTCTTCCTTTTCGTGGTCATGATGAATCTGAAAGTTCAAGTAGAAAAGGATTGTTTCTTGAGCAATTGAATTTTTATGCTCGGCCAAATGAAGATGTGTGGAAAGTGGTTTTGAATAATGCTCCTGAGAATAACAAAATGACATCACCGATTATCCAAAAAGATCTTGCTATTTCTTGTGCAGATTTAACATTGCAGAGCATAGTCAAAGAAATTGGAGATGATTATTATTCTTTACTTGTTGATGAAGCTCGTGATGTATCAATTAAAGAGCAAATGGCTGTGGTTTTTCGTTATGTGAACAAACAAGGGTTGCTTCTTGAACGTTTTGTAGGCATTGTTCATGTCTCAGATACTTCTTCGAAGTCATTAAAATTAGCAATTGATGGGCTTCTTGCAAAAATGGGACTAAGTTTATCTAAGTGTCGTGGTCAAGGTTATGATGGCGCCAGTAACATGAGAGGTGAGTTCAATGGTTTAAAAAGTTTGATTTTAGCTGAAAATAAATCTGCTTATTACATCCATTGTTTTTCTCATCAACTACAATTAGCACTTGTAAAGGCAGCTAAGAGTGATAGAAAGATTCAAGAATTTTTTGATATTCTTCAAAAGATGGCCAATGTTGTTAATGGTTCATGTAAGCGATGAGATAGTTTTCGTGAAAAGCAATATGAAATGATTCTTGAAAGAATTGCATGTGGTGAAGTGCATGGAAGAGGTTCTAATCAAGAATCAAGTTTGAGAAGGCCCAGGGATACACGATGGGGGTCTCATTACTCAACAATTGTGAGTGTAATTTCATTGTTCTCTCCTATTGTTTCATTGGTGAATATAATTCAAAATGATCCTAAGAATGATTCGGTAAGGACGGAGGCAAGTGCTATTTTGTTTGCTATGGAAGATTTTGAATTTGTATTCATTTTGCATTTGATGGAGATGGTCTTAAGCATTACTTACGAACTATCACAATCCTTGCAACGAAAGGATCAAGACCTAGCCAATGCTATTGCTTTAGTGAGAGTTGCAAAAGTTCGATTGCAGAATTTGAAAAGTGTTAAATTTGATGTGTTGCTTGATTTAACAACTGAGTTTTGAAAGAAACATGATGTTGATATTCCAAACATGGGTGATTTCTATTGTCCCAAGGGAAGATCAAGGAGAAATGCATCAACACTCAAGTTTTGGGAGTTCTTCAAGTTCATGTACTTTGATAAAGTGATCGACCAACAACTTTTTGAGATGAATGATCGTTTTGACAACGTGAACACAAAATTGATCGAGTGTTTGAGTTGTCTTGATCCCCAAGATTCATTCTACAAATTTGACACAAAAAAGTTGGTTGAATTTGCTACATATTATCCAATGGATTTTGATGAGTCTTGTGATCTTTCTTTCCTTTCCTCTTCCTTGGAGACTTTTATTCTTGATGTAAAAGATGATGAAGGATTTGCTAATTTAAAAGGAATAGGAGAACTTGCTCGAAAAATGGTTGAGAAGAAGAAAGACATTGTTTATCCGATGGTGTATTTGTTGGTGAAGTAGCTTTACTTTTACCGGTTGCAACAGCAAGTGTGGAACGTGCATTTTCAGCAATGAACTTGGTCAAAGATAAGTTACGCAACAGAATTGGTGATGAGTGGTTTAATGCTTGTATGATAACTTATATAGAGTATGAAACTTTTGATCGTGTGGAAGATGAAGACATCCTACAATATTTTCAAGCAATGAAGGCTAGAAGAATGATTTTGTAGACTTGAGGTAATATGATTTGTTATGTTATGAACTTTAATATTAAAAATATTTATCGTTTTATTTAGTTTTATTTTATTTCTTTTTTCGCCCCACCCTAAGAATTTCCTGGCTCCGCCACTGTTTGACGCCCTTCCGGCGTTAAAATTTGGATTACGCCCCCGGCGTCATCCTCATTTCCTCTGCTCTAGTAGTCACCAATGAAAGTTTTATTTAAAAAAAATTGACAGTAAACATGACAAAGTTTTATTTAACTTCAATTTTTTGTGAAAGACTTTGAGATATACAATTATTTTGGTAAAGTTGCAACGGTTCCCACGGTCATGACAAAGCTTTCACAAAACAATTCTCTTTTCACTATTTTCTCTATCCACAAAATACTTCCACTTTTTACTAAAAAGTCATTTTTAATTTACCCAGCATATTCTACTTTTATCCATCACATTCAAGGACGAAAATTGAAAAGTTCACTACAAAATACACTCTTAAATTTGTTAAAAGTCAAAATGGGAACTCTTTTTTGAAACGAAAGTACTTTTTATCATGTCTTTGCTTTCGGTTGTTAACCAACAATACAAAGTTGATCATGACTGAATACTAACATGATTAAAAATAATCTAACAAAATATAATATTTGACATTGATTGATGTTATTCTTATTGTCGTCATCGTCGTTGTCCACAGTCAGTCTTTCATCACTCATGTTGTTATCTACCTGAACACATGTGCAAACAAGGGCCGGCTTGCCTAGTCCGCCCTTAAAAATAGGTGAATATGAACAACAATAATGACACACATGTGCGGATCGAACCGAGCCCAATTTTTATGTGGGCAAATATGGGAATTGAGATAGGCGCATTAGGGCCGTCCACTTTTTTAAAAATATTAAAATCATATTAAAGTATGTGTCTCTGTAATGTGATGTCAATTAGAGCCAATTACTTTTGCATTTTATATTTCCCCATATGTAACACTATTACAACTTTTTTTATTTTTTCTTGTTTTTGGTCATGCTGGATTATTTTTATCTATTACTCTCTTCTTCGTTGTAATATTACTATCAATATGATTTCTATTCTATTTTACATATTTTTTTACCTAGTGCCATTTTTGGGCTGAAAGCCCCGGCAACCTGACCCCCTGGATGAACCAACATAGGCATAGCTTTAGCCCATTTGGTTCACGCCAAGCTAGCCCTCTCATACAAATGACTATTTAGTGTTAAGCTCGGCCCGAGTCTAGCCAAGATCATATCTGCACATGTTTATCTACATCTTACATATACAGAGCTGAAAAGCTATTTTTCCTCCCAACCTCTCAATTATGCTTCTCCCCCATCCTCAGATACGCCTTTATTTACTTCGTTAGGATCCTACATTCAAATTTTCATGTGCGAGATAATAAGTTTTCAGTTCTACGATGAAGAAACAATTAAGTATGTAATAATTAATAGAAGAAGTATAAAGAATTACCAATGAAAATGAATCAAAGAAACAGAAACTACACTTGTAATATAACTAGGAATCAATAAGTTAATAGGGATACCCTCAACCTTCAAAATGGACCATTTTTAAAAAATATATTAAATATCATATACATTAAGGCCCCATTTGGTACACAGAATTCAAACTATGGAATTGGAATTGAGGGCTTCAATTCCAATTCTAGTGTTTGGTAGCACAAAAATTATGTGAATTTGGAATTGATAGTGCAAAAAATGAATTGGAATTGACATAATTCAATTCTATGGAATTGAATCCTATGAAATTTTAATTCCAATTCAATTCCAATTCCATCAATTCCGTATACCAAACGGACCATAATAGGGGCCATGCATAGAATGTGTCACGATAAATACGTGCTAATAGATTAAATTTCATGACCTGGCTCACAATATACCCTCGGCCTTCAGGACAGCCTCACCCACATTCATAAATCAAAATGACTTTCACAAAATTAAAAAAACTCTATCCTACTTCACATGTCAAATTTTATAAAACTTAGTACAAATTCTGATAAACAATATGCTTAACTACAAATTAAATTTTATATGATTGAGTTCATTTTAAGATGTAATTATAACATTTCAAATTTGTATAACATTTTTGCTTTTTAGGTTATACTACAATACTTACCATGCGTGGTTCTAAACTCCACACTCATTTAATAGACCTTAATATAAGAAAGAATTATATGTATTGAACATTGTAAAAATAAAGAGATTCAATTTCGAGTTCATGCCAAATATGTGAAAAATCTACATTTCACATATGGACTTTAGTACCATAATGGCACAACTCTACTATTCATATTACTATCCATACAGGTTGGGCCGACACACGGGTTTGCAGACCACCCTATTTTCTACAGCCCATACCCAAAATACCAAGTCAAGCCCACAACTTTGTAGGCAAAGCCAGGCCTGTGATGGAGTCTAGAATTTTTTTCATATTTCTATTTTGATATTTCTAAACGATTGACAGATTTTCAAAATGTCAAGCTTTTGTTGCCTTTTATATGTTCTACAAAAGACATAACTTCAAAACATGTTGAGCTCAAAACTCCAAATTTCCAACCATGCAAAACATATGAAGTGCAAATACTCCGTATATAATGTGTGTAGTACCTAAAATGACTGGGCAAAGATTTCCATTTGGAGGCATCGCCATCCATGAAAGTAAAACAAAAAATGAGAATAATGGGGGGTTTCATATAGAACAGAACACTACAACAAGTTTTGCTACAAGGCAAAGAAGGTCTCACTTTACAGGCTACCTTCATTATTTTCCTTTGCCCCTTTCCTCATGTCTCAACTCCATCATCAAGAACGCGGGCCCCAGATAGCTCCATGCTTGATCATGTAGAGGAAAAGAATAAAAAATACATAGCTCCATGCTTGAGCATGTAGAGGCAATTCCTCGGGTGACTCCAAAACGCTGATTAGAAGATCGAGAAGTTGAGGAAAGTATATCAGGACTTGGCAGCAAAAACTCCAGGCGTTGAATTTCAGGAGTTACTAAAAAATTATTGGGGTATAACCGTATTAGTGTATTGCCCAAAAACGAAAATTATGTGAATATGAAGTCTAAGACTTAAGAGTACAAATTAGTAACAAGCTACTCAGGATTAACTTTAAAACGGTGTGTCAATGCTACCTGTATTTTATGAGCTGTGCTGGACTTGCCGGTGTAATTGAAGAATCCAATCCATATAGCCATTTGAACCACCCATTTGGTCCTCAACTAGATTCTTGAGTAGGAAAAGGCCTTCTCGGGGCTGTTCACCTTGCCTCACAATGTGAGGTAACTGATGGTATGATGGGTCGCTTTGCCGATACTTTCTAAGCAAGCCCATTAACTTTCTTGACATTTCATTATCTTGCTCACGAATGCAAACCTGACCATCAAGACATAATGAATAATCACAACCAGACAACAATTACCAATTTGCAACGTATAACTATGGTGAGATTCTCTTTTCATATAGAAGTAGTATTCACTTTAATGTATTTTTTGAATTTTAGTAATAATCCTTTGGGATGGGATCAGGGGGGTAGTTCACGGTTCAGGGGGTGTTAAACCTTTCATGTATGCCATTTATTCATCATGTTTCTCTTTTACAGT